AAAGAATTCTACATTTATTTGGGAATAAAATAGCAATCAACAATTTGAAAAGACCTCAGAGAATCTTTTTGTACTTTAAGATTTAAGTACTTAAGTCTAAAGTCTGCTGGAATTAGAGCCCCTTAACTGTGCTTTTCCACAGTATGTGTCTATTAGTCAGGATTCTCTAGAGAGACAGAACTAATAGCATAGATACATATATATATAAAGGGGAGTTTATTAAGTATTAATTCACATGATCATAAGGTCCCACAATAGGTCATCTGCAAGCTGAGGAGCAAAGAGAGCCAGTTCGAGTCCCAAAACTGAAGAACTTGAAAGTCTGATGTTCGAAGGCAGAAAGCATCCAACACAGGAGAGAGATATGGGCTGGGATGCTAGGCCAGTCTAGTCTTTTCACATTTTTCTACCTGCTTTATATTCTAGCCACAGTGACAGCTGATTTGATGGTGCCCACCTAAATAGATTAGGCAATGCCCAGATTAAGAGTGGGTCTGCCTTTCCCAGTCCACTGACTCAAATATTATTCTCCTTTGGCAACACCCTCACAGACACACCCAGGATCAATACTTTGCATCCTTCAATCCAATCGAGTTGATGCTCAGTATTAATCATTACAATGAGAGTCACAAAGAAGAGGAGCAGGGATCTGTAGAGATTTTAGAATAAATTCATAGGGATGCCAAATAATGTTCTCCTTAGGATGAGGAGTGCATGGTGGTTGAAATTTCTTACTGAGACTGTGCTGATGTATATGTAATAGTTCATTATAGTCTTGCAGTGATAGAGTTGCATGGTGTTTTTGTTTCCCCTTTAAGTCCATTAGCAAGAAGAGAGTCTTCATGATCTCGCTAGAGATTCCATGTGAATCCCTTAGGTTGAAACTCCAGGTTATACCTCGTTTCTTATTTCTGATCTACAACGTGGCAGAGTAAGCCTCTTAAATAGCAAACACTTCCTCCATAAGCTCCAAAACATTGCCAGTGCTATTGATAACATTAACTGTATCTAGAAAGCAAAGCTACACACCTCGCTTCTAGAGTATAAGCACATGCAGCTCACATAGATGTCTCACTCAGCCTGCATATATTGCATTACTTGCAGACACATAAGAACTCACGGAGTCTTTTCACCTCCAACCATATTTTGCACTTGGACCTGCAGTGTTTAAAAATCTTATCCCTGGTGTGTTTTATTTTCTACAAACATTGTCTCCTACAGACATTGCTACTGGTAAGCTCTCTTCCCGTTTGCTTTGGCCCAGTGCCCAGGCTGCCTCAGCCCCACTGGAGGCCCTCCCTGGGCACTCCTATACTGCCAACAGCTCTATGTGACTATTACCTCCTCTTCCTCAAACACAGATAGAGCGCAGTCCTCACAAGCATTCAGAGACAAAGGAACCATCCGTGGTTGCAGGAAGAATTAAAACCCATTCTAGAAAAATAGTGTTCAATAAAGATGGAGACAGGTTCCACAATTCAAGATCTTGAACGCACTTGAATTCCACCAATGATTATGTGGCTCTAGAATAAAGATTTGGCTCTTATAGCCCACAGCAATATAATTCTACTTTCACCTAAAAGGCAGCAACTTTTTGGAGCTGAGAATTATGGAAAAAATTAATGTAAGAAACTGGGCTTACATTAGATCTACTCGGAAGGATTTTAGGTAGAAACAGCAAAAGCAAAAATAAAAACCCTAGACACAGTGTTGACAAATAGAGAGAGATTGCTCCAGTAATGACCCAGCTGTCATGTCAAAGGCTCAAACCTTGATCTGATATTTGAAGGACATGGCTTGCTGAGTATTAGAATTTTTGCTTTTTTTAAGATTGTGTAAATAGTCCATGTTAATAGGTTGTTCTTACATTGCAGGAGTTTAAAATACAATATACCTTCAATTCCACACTTGTTGTACCCAAGAGACATTCTCTGTATAAAACACTAAGAACACCAAGCCCTGGGCAAACTTCATTGAGAATAAAACTCCATGAGGTAATCAGTGGGGAGCCACATTCCCCGACTTGTGCCTTTAACACCTCTGTCCCCTGTTCTTAGCTGTTATGAGAATAAAACAAAAACAAAATCAATTTTGAATCCTTTCGTTCTCACCAATCTCTAGCCACAGCACAGACTCGGTGTAGCTCCTTACCTCCCCTTCTTCCTCTCGTCCCCAACCAAACTACATAAAATTATACATTTCACCATACATCATAAGTAGGGCCACAACTAAAATTTGGGAGGTTTCTGTAAAACCTAATACCATGTACATTTTTAACCATAAAAAGACAGCAAATCAGTCATTGAAACTAAAAAGTTCAAGAACCCTTTCATTTCTCCCACTTGTTGAGTTTAAAGCCTCAGAGACAAAGTAATATCAGGGTACTATCCCAAAAATATTCTGATTTCAGCTGTCATCATGTGACTTCCTGGATACCTTCAATTTGAGTATCAAGTGCAGCATTACTGAATTCTCAAGGGTTTAATGACATTTCACTTTTTCCTGCAGTGACTAATGGTCAGTACCTAAGGATAAGCTTTCTCAGCTGGCAGGGTAAAGGTGTTGTTTAGAATCATAGACTCGCCCATATTTCAGGATAAAAAGTAAAACAGTGTAATTAAAAGTATGGCTCATGGTTATCCATAACTGTATTCAGATAGAGCAATAAAATTACTAGGCTCCACCTAAAACCTGAATAAAAAATATATAGAAGAAATTATGGGCATCTATATTTGAAAATGTTCCCTGTTAACATTTAATAGTGAAAATCTTCAAACCACTGTTATAAGTCATCTCATACTCCAGATGATACCTGAGCATATGTGTGCAAGCACATGTACATATATAAACGTATATGTATATTATATACAGATTCCACATTTTTAAAATTTATGACTGTGAATCTTTCTGTGTTATTTTTGACGTGCTCTGCATTAGAATGATCTGATGTTTTTCTCAGTTGTTTGTAATGTCCCAGACCATAATCTTGAACTGAAAGTTCAGGGTATGTGATTTTCCTTGCCAGCTTTACCACTCACTATTTGAATAATATCAGATCTCAATGTCCTCATTCTAAAATGAAGAACTGACTATCTTTGAGAACCATTTCAGTCCCAAAATTAAATAACTGTATTGAACACTGATTTGAAACTGGGGAACTCTGTGGTTAAGAGACAGATTGTAAGACAAATGGCAGCCATTCACTCATGTGCTCTCAACAGAACACTAAGGAAAAATTGCAGTCTCATCTGCCTAATTAATTCTTCAGTTAAATTAAAAATTATATTTGATTAGATTCACAAAGGGCACTGACACTAGGCTTACCAGTGGCTCTAAATGCATGGCCTCCAAATGCCAGAAAAGAAAAAATATCCCTTATACTGAGATCAGAGTTTCCCCAAGCAGAGAAGTTTAATGCTAATGTGATTGATTTTGGTTCCAGAAAAATATATTGAATTCAAAGATATGGACAACACAAATTTCAAGTGGTAGAAAGACAGGTTAATTCTAATCAGATGCAATAGTCAGGGAAAGTAAGTGATTGAGAATGACAGATAAACCACAATTGTGTAATAATTTGTTCTCCTATAAAGCTGAAGAGTCCTTTAGAGTTGCACAGGCATGCTAAAGAAGTCCATTAAGCGACCACAAAGGAAATGCATTGAAATACAATTCTTCTAAGATTGTTTATGTGGATACTTATGAGATTTGAATTATTTCTCATGGTAGTTGCTCTCAGAAAATCAGTAAATTGGAATGAAGACATATAGTTGACACCTAATACATTTTTTTATCTCATATTTATGTTTAACAGCAGATTTTCATCTTTTAGATGTGTTAAATTAAGGGTGAGAATGGATTGAAATATCATATCAATATATGATATGACACAGGAGTCAAAAACAGGACAGACAAGCCCCACTAAGAATGCCAGGCATTTTGTGTGATGGTAAGAGCAGTACATGAACAAAAGCCAGATTTGGAATGTGAGTCAGGAGTGTGTGAGCTCATATTTATTGTCCAATAATACAGATGCATACTGCTAAAGAAATTTGGCATTGAAATGGAACCAAAAAGAAGTAATGAAAATATCCATGATGTGTGAGGGATTTTTAGGTGCAAGAGACACTTTTCTGTATGCACTGATGGATTTCAGGTGTATTCAAACACAAAGGCTGGTCAGATACTGCAATCCCAAAATGCAGGGAAAGACTGGATTTCGTGAAACTAACTAAATTTGGGGCTCTGGTTACATTTGCTCAGCACCTGGTTGCTGCCTCAGCAAAAAACCAGCTGGAAGCTGTTTTTTGTTTAGTTTTGTTTTATAAGGCTTTGTTATTTATTGTCCAAATGCTTCTCATGAATTTCCAGAAGCAGAAACATTCAGACCAGTAAAGACTGAGGTGGTTTGTTTTGGTTAATGAGAAATGCTGCCTTTATGTAAGTTCTCTGTTATTCTTCCTCATATTATTTTCCGAGTGGTATGAACTAAAGGTCTTTCCCTGATGTATTGTCCATCTGAAGATGTTCAATGAGGAAACTCAATATGTAGAAACAGTCAAAATACCATCATGCTTTATATCCTAAACCCAAACTGTTCATCTGTGCTCATGAACATATCAGCTAAGACTTGGATAATAGCATCACTGTTTATCCTCAGGTAGAGGAAATGCTGACCATTTCCATAAAACACACACCAAGACCACATCCAAGACCACACTGGGATTTTTTTTTCCTGAGATAATTAAGGGCACATTTGGAATTTCTTTTTTTCTTTTTTTTTTTTTTTTTTAATTTTTTATTGGATTATAGGTTTTGGGGTACATGAACAGAGCATGCAAGACAGTTGCGTAGGTACACACATGGCAGTGTGCTTTGCTTTTCTTCTCCCCTTCACCCACATTTGGCATTTCTCCCCAGGCTATCCCTCCCCACCTCCCCCTCCCACTGGCCCTCCCCTTTTCCCCCCAATAGACCCCAGTGTTTAGTACTCCCCTTTCTGTGTCCATGTGTTCTCATTTTTCATCACCCACCTATGAGTGAGAATATGCGGTGTTTCATTTTCTGTTCTTGTGTCAGTTGGAATTTCATGTGGAGCAGAGCATTTGAATTCAAACCAGGTTTAACTGGCAAATGGTTTTTAGGTAAAGTAATAGTTTGAAATACTTTCTCTAAAACTGTTTAAAATGCTCATACCTGGCTTTGATCTCAAGAATGTTATGCAGTGAACATAACGTCTATGATAGTATTTAGTAGGATGTGATTATTGTGGCATGTTCTTAGTGGGTTTACTCTTCAGCTGCCACGGGCAGGAGGTATGAGGGAGCAGTTTTCCTGGTTTATAGAGATGGTCAATTCCTACAATGTGTGGGCACTGTGCATTTTGTATCTAGTACCTAATTATAGTTTTGTAACCACCCAATGGGTTCACCTTGCCCACTGCCTAGACAGAATCAATTTCTCAAGTCAGGAGAATTCCAATTGAGAAAGAGCAGTTCATGAAGAGCTGGCTGTGCAGGAGACCAGTGTTTTATTAGTACTCAAATCAGTCTCCCTCAGCATTTGGGGAGCAGAGTTTTTAAGGACAACTTGAGGGTACAGGGAAGCCAGTGAACCAGGAGTGCAGATTTGTTAGAGGTGAAATCATAGGGAGTCAAAGCTGTCTTCTTGTGCTGAGTCAGTTCCTCGGTGAGGCTACAAGATCAGATGAGCCAGTTTATCAATCTGGGTGGTGGAAGCGGATCCATCAAATGCAGGGTTTGCAAAATATCTCAAGTACTGATCTTAGGGGCAGTTTAGGGAGGGTCAGAATCTTGCAGCCTCCAGCTGCATGACCCCTAAACCTAACTTCTAATCTTGTGGCTAATTTGTTAGTCCTACAAAGGCAATCTAGTCCCTAGACAAGAAGGAGGTCTGCTTTGGGAAAGGGCTGTTATCATCTTTGTTTGAAACTACAAATCAAGTTTTTCCCAAAGTTAGCAGCTTATGCCCAGGAATGAACACAGACAGCTTGGAAGTTAGAAGCAAGATGGAGTTGGTTAAGTTAGATCTTTTTCACTGTCTCAGTCACAATTTTGCAAAGGCGTTTCAATCTGGCAGCAACTTGACAAAGTATGTATTGTTGATTCCTCCGAATACGCTGAAAAGGAAGAAAAGATAAATCATCTTTCCAAAATCCTGCAGTAAGTGAATGGGACCAGTATTTCATTAATGGATGCAGTTTGTAAAATTCTTCCGCTAAACTAGAAGTCTTTATTCTGACCCTATACCTAATCCACAGGCTCTATCTTTATATTATTATTATTGTTGTTGTTATCTTTATATTATTATTATTGTTATCGATCTTCAATAGTCAAAATGTTACCAGAAAGGGGTCCCATCCAAATCCCCAAGAGAAGGTTCTCGGACTTCACACAAGAAAGAATTTGAGGTGAATCTATAAAGTGAAAGCAAGCTTATTAGAGAAGTAAATAAACAAAAGAATGGCTAGTCCATAGGCAGAAGAGCAACTGGGGCTGCACAACTGTTAATACTTATAGTTATTTCTTGATTACATGCTAAACAAGGTATGGATTATTCATGAGTTTTCTGGAAAAGGGATGGGCAATTTCCAGAACTGAGGGTTCTCCCCATTTTTAGACCATATAGGGTAACTTCCTGACACTGCCATGGCATTTGTAAACTGTCATGGCACTGGTGGGAGTGTTTTTTAGCATGCGATTGCATTATAATTAGCATATAATGAACAGTGAGCGCCGCCAGAGGTCACTCACATCGCCATCTTGGTTTTGCTGTATTTTGACTTGTTTCTTTACCACAACTTTTTATCAGCAAGGTCTTTGTGATCTGTACCTGGTGCCGACCTCCTGTCTCATCCTGTGACTAAGAATGCTAATCTCCTGGGAGTGCAGCCCAGTAGGTCTCAGCCTTATTTTATCCAGCCCTTATTCAAGATGGTGTCACTCTGGTTCGAACACCTCTGACAACAATGTTACCAGCAAACTCAAGAAACACATTAAACAGGTAACCAATTGTGTGTTTCTGCTGAGATGCACACCAGAATCCAGGTTTTAAAACAACAACAACACTGAACAAAAAATATTAATGTTATTGCTTTTCTTATGAACAAATCAAAGAGCGTATAACTTATTCATGTGTGTTCACTGAACACAAACATGGCACTGGAAGTACCACAGGTTGACAGTGGAGGATCCCATAGTCCTCTTTCCCAAGAAGCTTGGAGAGTATCTTAAGAAGCCCACATCAATAAATAATAGGAATATAATGCTAATATATGCAAATTGAGTAACGAACAGAGAACAATAACAGGGCAGCTCAAAGTGTAATTAATCATCTGGAGAAGAAACTAAAATACTAGAGAATTCTACACAAAAGAAAGAAACAGATTTGAATACTGCAATTGATTAAGTATGATCCCAAAGTGTCTATTTGTATGGAAGGAGGGCATGGAGGAAGGAGGGCCTGTGCCTATCTGGAAACAGTGCCTGTCATCACTAGAGAATATTGACAAATGGCAAGATGAATATGGGATAGGATAGCAGCAGCTTCATAGGTTTACATCTGGATTTGCAATTCTATCTTCTAGGGAGAGGTAACAAACATAGCTTTCTGGCTTGCAGATGAATTCCCTTTGTTTGGCAGGATGTTTCTAAATTCACTGGCTGTTCAGCACTCCACAGCCTCTATTGCTCTCAATTGCATTGTTTTGGCTCTCCTCTTGATTCTATGACCTGCTAAACTTCCTGGCCCCCAAAAGCATTTTGAGCATGCAACCCTGTTATGAGACATAATGATCCACCAGACATTTTGAATCTAGAGTAACATGCTAAGAACTGGATTATCAAGAACATTTTCACAAATGTGTAAACAGGTGTTAAAACAAGGTGAGAAAAGTTTTAAGATTTCAGGAGACAGATAAAATGTACCTGAGGTAGAAAAGTAGCAAAAGTGGGGGGCTGGGCACAGTGGCTTACACCTGTAATCCCAGCACTATGGGAGGCAGAGGTGGGTAGATCATCTGAAGTCAGGAGTTCAAGACCAGCCTGGCCAACATGGTGAAGCCCTTTCTCTATTAAAAATTCAAAAAATAGTTGAACATGGTGGTGAGCACCTGTAATTTCAGCTAGTCCAGAGGCTGAGGCAGGAGAATTGCTTGAACCTGAGAAGTGGAGGTTGCAGTGACCCAAGATCAAGCCATTGTAGTCCAGCCAGGGCAACACAGTGAGACTTGGTCTCAAAAAAAGAAAGAAAGAGAGAGAGAGGAAAGAAAGAAAGAAAGAAAAAGAAAAACAGCAAAAGAGAAAAAAGTAAAAAGAATCTGTAGTAGAATGGGCAAAATATAATAATTAATCAAATGTTAATTGCTATAAGAATAGGGAAATTGGTAAGATTTCAAATCCAAACACTTATACACCTATATAGTAATACAAGTAAAGGAAAAGCAGTAAATAAAGAAAAAAATCCCATTTTCATTAGTTGTTGATAAAGGGTTAACTGGGCATGGTTAATGCAATTAAACAATCCAATATATTAGAAATTGGGCCATGGAGGCTGATAGGCAAAACACTGTTAAACCAGAAGTACTGATTAATTATTTTATTGGACCATTAAACATCTGGCTGCCTTTGTTACTCAATAAACTTAAACAGTTCATTAAAAACCAATGAAACATGACAGAAAAAAAATTAGAGATTTTGTTTTCTTATTTCTTTCAGTTTACCTATGGATTAGAGGATTTTATTTCCTTTTGAATTCACTTCCAAAAGCCTAACGAAAAGTCACAGATGTTGCTAAGTAATGGGAAATAGCAACCCCCAGCTAAAAATCGAAATTGCAAATCTGTTAACTCTTCGGTGATTGCAAATAAGCCAAGTTTCAAAACTAAATAGGGAGGAAAAATTCCTTTTTTTGTGTGATATACACCGCTAGATATAGACTTTCTGGAATTTATTTACAACTCCAATGTTGACGCTTCTTGGCAACCATTCTTTTCAGGGCACTATTTAACAACAATAAGTAGATCAGAGCATTGGATGAAGAAGACTTTGAATTCATGTTAAAATATATATACATTTAATGGTATAAATAAATTACTAAAATTTCACCATACTAACCAATTACTGTAGTATTTCATTTATCTTCACATATACAGCTATATAAAGAGATATGTCTATATCTAGATCTGTAAGCTACAAGAATTGTATGATACAGCTTGCTTTTTAACTTTTATTTCTCACTTATTTCATTTCTGAATATATTTCTATATCAGATTCTTGATGGATATATACTGTTTCACTCATTTATTATTGAACCAAGTAACTTTTATTGCAAATGTGCATTGTCATTAATTTTTTCAGTTATAAATACTCTCCCATTGATAACTCTTGTCAAACATAATTGTGATTTTATGCGATTATGCAGTTTTGATAAGTTCTGAGAATTAAAATCTGTTGATTACACCAAGGTTCTTGTGTGTATTGCCAAACTAAACACATTAACTGAACTGAATGAATTAAATTACCGATATGATTTGACTTTGTGTCCCCACTCATATCTCGTCTCAAATAGGAATCGCCACATGTGGAAGGAGGGACCTGGTGGAAGCTGATTTGACATGGGGCGGTCTCTCCCTCGCTATGCTCATGATGGTGAGTGAGTTCTCATGAGAGCTGATGGTTTTAAAATGTGGACTTCACTCCTTGCTCTCTCTCTCTTCTGCCACCTTGTGAAGAAGGTGCTTGCTTCTCCTTCCCCTCCACCATAATCGTAGGTTTACTGAGGCTTCCCCAGACATGCAGAACTGTAAGTCAATTACCCTCTTTTATTTATAAATTACCCAGTCTTGGGTAGTTCTCTATAGCATGTGAAAACAGACTAACACAATGAGTAAGAGTATTAATTGTTAATTTAAGAGCCAACTCATGAGGATGCTGCTACAGCTGTGAGATGGAGGAAACAATGACACAGATTTTGAACATCTGCAAATCTATATATTAAGACAAACCAAGTAAATAGATAGCAAAACTGAATACTTGGAAAATATTTACTATAAAATCAGGTTACAAATTATACCTACAAACCTCACAGTACAAGCAGATAATTATAAACTTCCATTAGCCACAAACCTACCTGATACCAGTGTCTCTGTGGAAGGGAACAAAGGGAAGGAACGGAATGTCTGGCAGACATACACTCTCACTGGCTATCATGATTGTGGTGTATTCTCCATACACTTTCACTGGCTAGCATGACTGACCAATTGGAGATGGGTTTTGTCCCTTTCAGTAGAAGTTGGATGCAAGGAGAGTATACTAAAGACTCAAGAGGTTGGACTAGTCTGTTGCTTGTGAACTCTCAAAACCCACTTGTTAGAGAGCTCCCTCTAGAATTAGACCCTAGAATCCCAGGCTGAAAAGACATCGTTAGGTTTGGAATTAGATTGAGTAGGGCAGGGATAATACTGAAAAGTAAAAAGAAGGTACAGGTAAAGTGGAGAAGAGAAGAGAGTCAAGAAATTTCAGAGAGTAATCCACTATAACGTTAAAGCCTACATGAAGAGAACAGAAGAGGGAGCTGTGCGAAATGAGAAAGTTATTCTGAACCACACCACTTTCTAGGAGTTCAGGATAATTAATTTTACAAAAAATGAGCAACAGAAAAGTATTGAGGGTAATTTCCACACTAAGTAATAAAATAAAAATTAGAATAAGGAGAATAAGATCCCTATGTATTCTGAAACCACATCAGAGCGATATACCACAAGAAAGATCAAAATACACACCTTAAAAGTGAGTTAGAAGACATTAAGAAAACATTTTAAGGCATGATAGAACAATATTAATCAGAATTTTGAAAACCTTAAATGAGATGAAAAAGTCAGGAAATAATTAGAAATAAATGATAATGTTCAAATGGAGACTGAATTAGAAATAACATGAGTGAATGAACACACTAAATAATTACTTTAAAATACAAAAGAAATACAGAAACAGATAAAAATTTGGAGAGAACACTGCAAATAATGAAGTAAATTCATTCTATAGATAAGTGTGCCTGCAGAATGAAACCAGTAAGAAAATTAACAAATACAAAAACTCTAATTCAAGACTTCCCTGAAAT